AAATTACCATACATTTAAGTTACCAATCGGGCAACGCTGTCCAACAGCTTCAAAAGCGAGCGTTGAAACTTGATAAATATCCGGACGGCGAACAAGATCCGGATCAAGAAGTACTTCTGAAACTACGCAGAATAAATTAATTGCTTACATCTCTTCAAATTTTTTGAGTTATTTCAAAGAAAATACACATAATTAATTGCTTTAATTTCTTGCTGGCCCACTATCAACGACATAAGTTATAATTTTCCTACAGCAGCATATGCAATGTAAATCATTCGAATATAGTTCTCACAGTTAAAAAATTTTATCAGCAGTTCAAAATTTTTCGTAATTTAACTGGAATTAAAATCTCATCAACAAAAGTAAAAGAACATACTTATAATGGCACGTAACTGCTCCGGATAATTGGGCTCAGTTGGAAAATTATAAGAACAATTTTGAATTGCAAGTGAGCTTTCACCAAACGGAAGACTGAAATAACAGAGCCTGTATAGCATAACACCAAGCGCCCATATATCAATCTTTGTACCTAAAATCCAAAGAATAATAAGTTTTCCCAAGGGAGTGCAATATTCTTGACTACATATAACCACAATAATTGAGCAAAACGAACCAATAGGCTTTCCGGAGTAAATATCTACCATTTCAGGAGCTCGATAGGCCAGTGTCGTATAGCGATGAATCTCTTCCTCAATAAACTGTAGTGACTGAGTATCTGATGACAAAACCTTCAAAATGAAGTAAAATAAGCAGCTTTTTTATATTTCATTATAAATATTTAATTGTTACAATGCTAACAATATATTAAATCACTAATAACTGAAAATCTAATCAGTGTTTATTAAACTATATGAAGCTCTAAGGTTTCCTACACAGATATATTTTGCTAAAAAATATTGAAAGACTATTATTCTAAGAACGAGAAAGAGATTAACAGTAAGGTATAGGAATAACCTTTGTCGTAGCACTTCCGAAGTCGCACAGAACATATACTGGTGCAGCAGGACACTGTTCATCTATCAGAACATTTTCAGCCTACAATTATGCAGTTGAAAAAAAAAAAAAAGAAGTTTCATTTATCACTTTCTATCCCGAAACACTCTGCACAAAATGAATTAACGATAATAAAAAATGTACCTTCAAATCACGATGAATCACTGGAGTTTGAGAATGATGCAAACGTGCAACTGCTTCACATACGTCGCAAAAAATTTTCAAAATTTCATTTGCCGAGAGACAGCGCCCCGCTAAATGTCGTTCATTCATCAGTTGCAACACGCCACCTGGAAAAAATAGTTAATTTCAAAGCTAATAGTTAGAAGTCTGTAAAGAAATTATGCAGTACGATCAATTTTTGGGAGGTGTTTAATGAATCTAATAAGTAAGACTGAAAAAACTTTCAAAGGAATCAGACAAACTTTTATAATAAGTAGTGAGAAGTGAACATTCGTATACACCACAACTATTCTTCAGTATCATATGATCTATATACGACACAATATTTTTGTGTCCAGCCAAACAACTCTAAATGTACTTATCATACATTTGCAAATGATTCCAAAACTTAAACATTTACCTATATATACAGTGATTTTTGAGATGCAAACGTATTAGAAACATAGTAGAAATATTTTAAGTGATGACTGTGCTAACTTTAACAGTGAATATTATTCATAGTTTATTTCGAAACACTGCTTCGTGATTACCTCAGACTTGAGTAATCAAAATTTTCTATTAATTATATCGCAGCAAAAAGCCATTATAAATAAAAACTAACACAAACACTAGTTGTTTGTGATAATAAAAAAGTTGCTTCCAATTGCGTTTGAAAGTTGGATAAGCTGTTATACGTACATTTTTAAAGCTGAAGCTTCACCAACTGGTAGCATAAACAACTCACCACAATGCGGCATTCTCTTCGACATGCCTCCAATTGCCGAACATCATCACTAATAAATTGTCTTTTAAGCGCATATTGACGCCCCTGCTTATCACTTGCCAAATATACAATCGCAAATCCACCTAATTATTAAAAAGCAGATATTGGAAACAACCAACAAAAATTCCACAGCAGAATTTTATATTTTACCTTCAGCAAGCCTTTTGTCCAATGTCACAGTGTGATTAGGTAGTTTTACAACTGATCCACGCCAATCTTTCCCATCGGAAGTCCCAGTATTTCCTACAAAAAGGGAGTTGATATTAAAACCATGAGTCAGAAGAGATTTAATGAATAAAAAATAAATGTTTCCGTACACCGCTAGATAAAACTATAATGATACTTTCCCATTTTCCTCCTATCAACTGAAAACCACAAATTCTAAGACTTAACAATTATATAAACTTCATTTGGCTATTACTATTGCATAAGTTTCAAGACCAAGCGCCCTACCTACTGCTGGTAGTTCAAAATCTGATCTGTTGGATTCCAATCGATTTCTCAACTCCAAGAAACGTAAGAAGACGAAAAATGAGCAGTGGTATGAAGTATTTTAAAAAGACTGACACAAAGTGCCTTTAAAAAAAAAAAACAATATAAACCTCGAAAACAGTTCTCGAGCTGTTGTGATTTCGCATTCCCGGCTCCTATCCCAAATAAATTCAGTGGCATCTTCAGTTCCTAGCAGAACGATAAGATCATCAAGAATTGCAAGAACCTTTTCTTTTTTTTTGATCCAATGACCAATTTCCTTCGATAATAATGAAAAGTGGATGCATTAATTAGATACATGGAGTTAACATTCAATAAAATGACATAAAATTAACAGGAAATTCGTGATTTCTGCAACTTGAACCTATTTATAACCGAATATATCAACTAAAATACACATGATGCTACTTCGCTTATCATTCAAATGAACCATTTAAAAAATTAGCTTCATCAAGCTTTTTAATAACCCATCATGTATTATTTCGTAAACTTTTGTTATCCTATTAGCAAAAATATTGCGCGAATTCCCTTTTTTTCTACCAGAATTTGTTAGTAATCTATCTTTGCAGTACTTTCAACGTGAACAGTGTCAGTGTTCAGAATTATCCAGACCATGTATCTTCAACTCTTTGCTTTGAAAATCTTTTAACACAGCTAACAGTTTGCACTGTAAACCCACCGTTCTCCACGTAAGCATTCTGTCAATACGTACATCTACGTGAACACCAAATGGCTAATGATAGAAAAAACTGCTCGGCTTGGTTATCGATCATTTGTTTTCGTGTCGAGACCGGATTATTTGGATTCTGGACGATGAAGAGATTGTTTATTCCGGATAGAGTATTTTGAGAAGCAGTGACGAAGGAATAGTTTTCCCGGTATATTCTTCGGTCCATTGGCATTATCAGTGCTCTGGAGTGCTTTGTCATAGATAATTTGCAATAATAATAAACTCTGTATGATTGTCGTTTCAGGAAATATTCGTGCCAAATCATTTTTTATAAACAAAAACTGCAACGATGGTAGATACTAGACGATTCATCCCTTCAGAGAGATTTCAAATAACCCATTGGTTACAACATATGGTAACATAAGATCACTCAGTGATTTCTCATTTTCTTTGTTCTAAATACTACATATTCCGAAGTTGCAAAATTATTCTCTTCCATATCTACTATGTACACTTTTATGGAAGAACAGTTCAAGTTTGTTTTGGGAATTTCGAGAAGCCAAAATTATATTGTACATTCGTTGGTAAATATATGTGCGTGTCCTATTTGAATTCAGTTACGTGACAATTTATTGATGATTAATTGTAGGATGTGTGTTATGAGGAGTGATAGAGAAGATGACGGTGATGAAAATGATATCACAGATTTGTTGAAAATTGAAAATCAGATGGAGAAAGGGACATACAAGAATAGATGTGAAATGATGAAAGTGACGAATGACAAGCAAACAGTAAACAGGATGTTAGTGGCTTTTTCGGAAGAACGCCAAGCGATATAGAGCGAGGACTCTGAAGTGTTAGTACAAAAGTAATTTAAACCCGTAAAGCAAACAGATTTAAAGTGGTGACTTAGTAGCTGTCTTGCTTGGTCAACTCACCTGCACGGTCATTATTACACAGTTTGACATATATACACGCATATGCACCGAACTACACCACTTATCTAATCATTTCCCTACATTGCTTATTTGCTGAGCCCTTATCTCCACTCCAATACTCTTTCGCATTTATTTAGGCTGAAAAGTTTGATACTTCCGCTTTATTCTTTAGGTAGGCGTTTTCTTACTTAACTTCAAGTTGAATGTCAAGTTATTTAATTTCGTGAACGACCTTCTGTAGGTGTTCTTTCGGAAAAATTAAGTTTGAAATTCCGAAAGAATAGATGTTCAGATTCCGAATTCTATACCTTGTAAGGTCAGCCTGCCTTTTTTATCCAATTTCTTAATTTCTTAAACATGTAGTTCAAAAAAAAAAAAAAAAAAAGCTTAGTCTTTTTTGGAGTCTAAATTTAGGTGTAGAAATAATCACTGTTCGCTTTAAATGATGAATTTTAGACTGTTTTATGATGAAACTTATAAGACGAAATTAATTTGTTGCAGATGAGCAATTTTCATTGGAGTAGTTTACAGGAACAGAAACATCTTCATGTGACGCATACTACCGCGCAAGTTTTTTGATTAGAATTAAAATGTACTAAGTTATCAACTGAGTACTTTAGCACTTTTTCGGTTTCTATTATCTTAAAACTAGACTAACTTGCGTTCTCTTAATCTACCAAACTGAAACTTTATTTAATAAAAATCAGCAAAAAAGTCAATTACTGTTACTGATATTCATCGGTAATCATGGTAACTGTCCATTGTAATCGCCACATTGATAAAATTAATTGTTCTTTGTTCAAGCACGAAGCAAGTTCGTTATCGCCTAGCCTAGTTCTTTAAAAATCTCATGATGTTAACTAATTAATTTATTCTTCATGAATAAGATTAAGGACGTAAGAAAATGGTTTCGGATCGAGAAAAGATGCATTGTGTGTGCTAAAAAATCTTTTTCAGAATTATGTCAAGAATACCAAGTGAAATCAAAAAGAATCTGAGCGGTTTAATGTATCATGAAAAAACGAGTACGTTTTAGTTTAGGTTTAACTTTAAAGACTGAATTAAGGCTTTCTCTGATGGAGTGAATGCATGAAGTTCTAATTCAGTCTAAATTGACGAATGGATTTCGAAAAATGAATCATGCGATGGACTTTCTGTTAATTTAACAAATTGAATGAAAACTATGGGAAAAATTCTATTTTAGATAATGGCGGTTACTTATGTTATTACAAAAACCTGGCTAGCGATAATCCAATCACATATCTGTGTAATATTGGATGCTGTCCAACTGGTTGCTGCACACTTCAGGAAGTTAAACAGTTCGTATTTAAGTTTTATGCCCAAAACAACTTTTCGAAATCATAGTAATTATTATAAACAACTTCCATCATAATTGCCAGTATAGTTTGATAAACAGAATAATTTTAAAATGACAGGTTTCACATGATACTTCGATGCTTTATTATTCATCCTCGGGCATACATAAGGTTCAATTTTTGAAACTGTAATCTTAAATATAGGATGCTTCCTAAATGTTCTCGATAATTTCTTTTTGAATTGCTTATAAACCGAAGTTTGAACCGTCAAGATAAAAACGTTATTGTAGGAGTGGAAGTTATGAATTGGTGATTATACTTTTGATAATACTCGTTTTTGCGATAATATTCACAGCAATTTCCATGCTTGTCGTTTATTACATTTATAATCATAAAAGCAGTGAACGTGGTTATGAATTTAGTGGAAGTTTTACAGAAGACAGTGTTATTGGATCTCAAGTAATATGTCGTTTTTAGATTTTATACTATTGTAGCATGAATGTACTTCCATTATTTCTATGAGTTGTTATAACTCGTTTTGAAATTATCTGTATTCATCTGGATTTTGAAGGCTTCACAGATTAAGGCAAATCTTTAATGTAAAAAGCGATTCACGTGTAAGTACTAGGCAAAAAAATTACAGTTCTAAAACCAAAAGAATGACACAAATCCTATGATTATATTAATTTTATTTATCTAAAAGTTTTATCATTTACTACGCCTTTTATTTAGATAAATGTGTCATTTTAGGTTAGTGGACCACCAACTTGTTTTGCTGAACGTCGATATCTCCCTCATATCAGTCCTGTGAAGTTATTTTGAAATACGGCAAATGATGTATTTGAAATCATTTATTAATATTTTTTGTATGTCAAGTGAAGTGATAATCCTGACTTATCTCTTAATTTATCATTTCATATATTGATATCATCTTCGGCTATAAATTTTGTTTACGCGTTTGACGGAGAATAAAATCTGCATATAATATCTTGTACTACCAAAACTTTCAATCCAAAGACGCGCTTGAATTTTCCTATTAGCTATTTATCCATTTCAGAAACATGAGGGTTTTAAAATTTTTGATATTCTGGATTCGTCAACTTTTTTAAGTTCTACGTCCTTTAGTAATTATTAAAAACTTAAAAAATAGTTTCTATACCTGAAGCGTCCATCGGTTGCTATGGTTATAGCACATGCTTCGAGAATATTACCAACTTCCTTATTTTTTCATTTTGTTATTGTTTCGGTGTTTTTAACTCATCTTCCAGACTTTTCCTTGTTCCTATAAGACTTTAAGAGTGACCAATTTCTGCATTCCACTAATAACCCAAAGACTTTCCAAACGAACTTCTAATCTTTGAAACACTACATAAAAACATTATAAATTTAGGAATTACCGAGCTCATTCCATCCACTCTCAGTGAATTTTTTGATCATGTTTGTTGTGTTGTTTGTTATTTGTTTGACCATGATTTTAGTGCCTTCTGAATTTTTTTTTTCTTTTTTTTTTGGTATTTTTTCAAATTCTAAAAATTATTTTCAGTTATACACCTTGGGTAAGTTTCGTTCTCTGGATTAGAACATTAAACAACTCTACAATGCCTAAATCTTTTCATTTAAAATAACATCATTTATGATTTATGAAATTTAAAAAAGTTACTACTGTTTACGTTAACTTTTCACACATATGAATAAAGTTTGATGTGAACAGGCTTTCAGTACTTGAAAAAATACTGGGATGAAGAATGGAGAATTACCACGGAGAAACGGTAACAGATGTAGTGATGAGCTTGACAAAATGCTGGAAATCCGGTCCAAAAAAGGAAATGTGACTCAGAAAGGTCATTGTTAGCAGTCTTGATTCCACATCACAAATCTCACAAATGGTAGATTCGTTGTGGATTTTTAGAATTTAACTCTAAGTTTTTTTTTTTTTTTTTAGAGTTTTACCTATACTTGTACAGTTTCTCATCATTGTTTTCTTCAACTGGTGAACTTGGCTTTCATTTAATAGTTTTGGCACTGCCTGTTTTAGTTGAGCTATCAAAACAAATGCAACTAACGAAGAGGCCAATAACAAGGCATGGTCGATATGGAGAGCCAATTATAGCAGCTCCAATCAGCGAAACATTTCCATTATCTCTCAAACCGAGCATAATAAATACGCGTTTTCCAGTCATTTTTTGAGTACATTTAAAAAAGACATTTTAAATTTACTAACTGTAAAAAATTGCGCTATTAAAATCTGAAAGATTATCATTTCTTTCTAGAAGTGAAAAAAAATGATTTAGAAAAGTGACATAGTGGTTGAGCGTTGGCAACGAGAAGGTGAGGAGGAAAAAGGAAGTGGTGGTGAGATGAAAGAGGAAGAGGAAGAACAGTTTAACTCTGACAGGGGTGATGCGAATAAAACTCAGAGCAAATCTGGGAAGGAAATGTTATTTTTCTTTTGATTTTTGAATTAAGAAGGAATATAGTTACGTGGCTTTGGCAAGCGCTAATTATATGGCTGGTACTAGTTATTAATCAATACAGCTAAACCAAATTGATCACTTGTGATTAATTTGAGATGTCACCGTCCGACATATTAACATAAACAGTCAGCACACGGACTTTTTTGCTTGAAATGGCTCGATGATTCTAGACTAAAAATAGAAACGATTAATGACAAATGTGGAAATGATGCTGTCACGATTGCACAGGAAATAAGATATCCGTCAGCGGTTAGCACAGCAGAGAGTAAAAATCATATTCGGCATTCAATCGTCTCAAATGGACAGAATTCTAGTCAATCGATAACGACAGTAAGATGGAAAAACTTATCTTCTGCTGTAGTACCGAATTCGTTGGTAAGATATCATTGAAATAATTTAAATAGAAGATCTAAGCTAAAGAAGTTTTGGTTAATCAGAAAGTCACAAATTCTTGAGTATTCAGGCTATTGAGAAGGCTGCGGAAAAACAAGTATCTCAGGATGACTTATGTGATACATTTCGAATGCAATCAATTTACACAATTTCAAGAAACAAAAGGTCATTTATTAACCAAAATAAGGTTGTAAGAGATATATAATAGGTAGAAAAAAGTTCACTAGTATTAACAAACTTCAACAGGCTGAGAAAACCAGTTGAAAAAAGTTCACTAATATTAACAAACTTCAACAGGCTGAGAAAACCAGTTGAAAAAAGTTCACTAATATTAACAAACTTCAGCAGGCTGAGAAAACCAGTTGAAAAACATTCGAGGACTACCACTCTCGGAGAAAGTTCATCTTCTGGAAAGGAAGCATACGAAGTAAAGCCATTTCTCAATACTTCGAAAGACAAAAAAATTGGAAGAATGGAGGGAAAGAGGTCCAGAATAATCAGTAATATTTGAAGATGAATTCCAGGAATGGTTTCGAAAAAAATTGATACAAGAAAGAGAGAAGCGACGAAAACAGAAAGAGAAAGAAGAGAATGAAAGAAAGGTATTATACAGTTCATAAATTTCCGTTATGATATAACTAAGTTGATTGTCACCAAATTTTTGGACTTCTTTTCAAATTTTTGAATAGTTAACTTATAGGCCAGAGAAGAGAGAAGGAAGGAAGCTGAGAGGAATTATGAAATTTGGAAACAAAAAAGTGATGAAGCAATTCGAGAAAAAAGAAAAACCAAAAAGGAAAAAGAGGAGGCTTTAGCAAAAGAAAAGATGGAGGAAATGAGGAGAAAGAAGGAGGAGGCAACTCAGGTGGGTTCAGAAAATTGCAGGAAGCGGAAGTCTTAGATTTGATTTACATAGTCTTCATCTTCTTGGAGATATCTTTGATTGACAACGAGTGGAATTGTAAAGTTATAAAGGAATAAATAACTCTTTGGAAATATGCACAAAATTGTTGGGAAAAGACAACAGACTGTAACATTGAAAAATGAATGTCAATCACAGGAGAAGGTTAGGTGACACATTTCGAAGACTTTTCATGAAATCCGTCAAAGTCGGTGTTTGTATGTTCAGCAATGACCACAGTTCTATTGCTCGTTCACCAGAAACTATCGCGTATAGAATTTGTTATATTTTAAAAAATAATAAGACGTGAGTTAAACCAAACGTGTGTGTGGCTAGTAGCATATAAATTAATATTAAGTATGTCATCTTGGTGATAACAAAGTCCTCTTGTGATATTATCAATTAGAAATGGATTAACTTTAGAAGTAAAAAGTAGCTTTTATTCTTTGAATTCAGATGTTTCAAGCATGGAAAAATGAACGATTGCAATGGCTTTCAAAGGAGCGAAAACAGCGCATGCAAAATAAAGAAAATGATGAACTGAAAAAAAAACATGAAATGGAAATAAGAAATAAACAGGCTCAGAAAGCATTTAACGCATGGTAAAGAGTTTGGAAATGTTTTCTCATCTCATGCTTCTTATTTTATCTTATCTCTATGGTTTGCACACTAGAAACTTATTTCGTGATACCGTCAGTTAAACTTATTCAGTAAAAAGATGGAGTAGAAATGATAACTGATAATGTTCATGTAATGAAAAATATAATGCCTATTGAAATCATCTCACGTTAAGGAATCAATAGCTTATATTCCCGGACATTGCAGTATTTTTATAATCACAACCGTCGATAAGTCCTTCAGCAAGAAACGTCTCTAGAGATGATCAAAGTAAGGCTTAGCCTTGAAGGGAAAGTTGAAAACACTCGGAAAAACGACATTTGTAAATATCTGCTTGCATCTTTCGATGTGCAATATTTCAATGAATGCAATTATTGCACAAGGAAATGTGAAAAATGAAAGCAGTTTGAGGTATGAAGAAAATAAAATTCGAAATGCGGAAGCGCAACGTAAGCTGTTGAAATCCAGGAAGACGGCAGAAATGCAAAGCAGAAATACGAAAGAATATAAGGAAGCATTAGCAAGAGAAGCTTACAATGTTTGGCTTCATATAAAGGTTTTTTTTTCGAGTTCTCTGAATTTTTGCTCAACTGTGGAATAAATAGTTATTAAGTTTAGCTTTAAATTAAAATTTATTTGAATGTGTTAAATGGATCAACAAATTTATCAGGAAAATGAACGTCTTTTCAACCAATCATTACAAGGCCGAATCATGAAATTGGATGAAATATCCCGTCGATCACATCTAATTCCATGGATTCCACCAAGTAATGTTATTCCACGACAATTCCTTTCAAGAGGTACCAGAAGGCATCAGTCTGTAAAGCGATCCATCAAATCCAATCAGACTTACAAAAAGTTTCCATCAGCAGTTCATCGTTCCAAATCAGCGCTGAGATAATTATCTTTTATATGTGAATTTGTTAGCTTGAAGTATGATTTCAGCCAAGGACTTAATTTCAGGTATTTATTTGGGTTCTGGAATTTTTGTCGTTTTTTTTTTGCTTTAAACAACAGATAAAATTTCAAGTAACTAAAGTTAATTAGGACCTTAATAACCACTGATTTATACAATGTTGCATATCTTTCACTGATCAATTGATTAAGCGGCCAAAGATTGTCGTGAATTAACCTCAAAGAATGATCCTTATTCAAGTTAATATTCTATTACCTAATATCAAACTCCATTTTTTTAACTCATTAAATTTCTTTTCCGAATGTAGTTATTTAGAATGTTTCTCATTCTCAAATTGTTACATAATCAAATCCCTCTTTTACATGATTTCCATTTAATTAAGCACACGCGCTTTTACTCTACTCAATTTGTATAAATGGATTATTTGTGCATGCATAAATGCATTGTCAAATCTGTTATTTTCAGAAAGAGAAGGAAATATAATTTTTGTAGCGTGGAAGAAAACCTTATTTTCGTTTGAAAAAGATCTTATCAAGCAACCTGTTTAAAACAAAGCTACTTGCTTCATACGAAAGACCCAGAAAAGAGGCCTAACCAATGTTCACCTTTAGGGTCTATCCGTATTGGCAGAATTCAACAGGCATTTTCTGCTAGATCAAACCACAATAAAGGAAACAAAGGCATGCGCTTGTCTCCAAAGCTGTATTCAGACTAATTTACGCATACTGGAACATCGGAATCACGTTTGTACTATGAATAGCGGATGTGTCGGGCTCATTCTACTCTAGTTGCTCATGAACTGTCACGACTCAGCATTGACATTGCTGTTCTGAGTGAAAGACATGAGAAAGATAGTCTCAAAGAATATCATGTTCACTCTATTCTAATCAGATAAACCTAGAATCAAACGCTCCCACTCAGCAGTTGGCTTCATGATCAAAAACTTAAGAGCATTCTGATCACACCATGTCTCCTTCTTACCATTGCATATTAAGCATCATTTGCCCTCCTCAACAGATACTTCCAACTCTTCAAGCTGATTCTGTAAGAAAAAACTAAATTTTATACCTGCAGAAAAAACCAATTCTCTTTGTCCTTTCAAAAAGGTTCCTGTAGATAATAAAACTGAGTGCCAAAGTAGGAAAGAACTTTAAGGCCTAGAAAGGAATACAAGGCAAACATGGTGTTGGAAACTTCAACGATAATAGACGCATACTGCTACGACACAGACATCATCTTTGAGCAGAAAAACAGCCAAAAAAATGATGTGGATGCACTCTCGATCCAAATATTAGCTGATCGCCAATTAAATCCTCCGTTCGGTAGAGAAGTGTTTGCGTTGCTGGTCATATCTCAATGATACCCAGTGAAGAATGTCAAACAGACTACCACCTAGTGAAATGCGAAGTTATTTCCTGCTTTCAGACAGAACTTAGAAGAGGTGACATTCTAAAAAAAGAGACAGTGAAAGATAATTTCCAGTCTAATCTTCAAACCAAACTCCATAGATCTGCAGATCTTTGGTTTTGTCTAATAAGAACTCCTAGTATATACTTATATATATATATATATATATATATATATAAGTATATGCAGTATGCTTCAACAAAACTTCGGGGCATCAAGAACAATTGGTGTATCAGCCTAGTACAAAAAGATTCCGAGACTATAGAGGCATCTATAAAGAGCTGGAAGTAGTGTATGGACCTACACATTAGGTGTACGATCCAACACATTCAATGTTCCCCATTCAGTTAAAAAGTCGGTAATTCAGTACATCACTCAACAATGAAGCAATGTCACACACATCAAATTTTGGGCTTTGTGACAAGTCAAGACCAAATAAAATTAGGACCTACAGACGATTCTGCTATTATGTCAGGGAAAAATTCAAAATTTCTGATCTTTCTTGAAATTTTGAGTGCTTCCTTACCGAACGATCACAAAAATATGAGCGCCGTTGTCTTTGCATGCCTTAGTTTTACAATAAGCATACACAAAATGTGTCATTAGTGATTTGTTTCCTTTGAAAATTTTAAGATTTATTTGCTGGGTGGAAATAAGTGTCGTAAAGCAAATAATTTAATCGGAAAAGCTTTCGAAATCTGCTATTTTTCTTTTTTTTTTTACTTATTTGAAGCAGGTGGTTCTATTCAGTGCTTGCAGATCTGAGTAAAATAAGTCAAAAAGTTCTCAAAAAATTTTATGTAAGTGTTATATTTCCCTGGCAATCAACAGTGATATCAGATGTGCCGTTCTATTTTTACGTAATTGAAAGAAAAGCAACCTACCTGATTATTTTATCCAATTCTTCAGTAAATCAAAATACTACTGATTTCTCTTTTCCTTTAGCAATAGAAATTTGGATAACTTTACTATGTCTTTCGAAGAAATTTATCTTTATTACCGCTTTATCTTCTAAATCCTTTCAAAGGAAAATTAGAAACTGTTTTAAAGTTATTACGGTTACTAGTACTTTGCAAATTTGTACATTTTAAATTTGAAAGTCTACTTGGATTCTTGTTATTTCAAATGTCTTTTTCAATGATATAGAGTTATTTTCCTTTATTTGAGCAATGCAGCTTTACTGCACTGGATTTCAAAGAAACTTGTCAATCATTATCATTCGTTAACAATGTTCTCTTAATTAAAAAACATTTGGGTGATTTTTTATAAATCTTTATCGTTCCAATTTAGTCGTTATTGGGAAATAGCTGCTTTAGAGACAAATTTTATTCAAAGAACTTTGAATGGCACCTTAGCACCTTACTTGCACGACAAAGTGGAACAGTCAATTAGAAATGTTTCCTTAACGATTTGCTGCACTCGATGTTGGCACAGAGAGTTTTAATTGTTGGTAAACCAGAAATATGTCAAATTAGCTATCATTTTCGCATTATTCTTATAACTTGGCTTTCTGTATTATGTATGCAAGGTATAGTTTAATAAATTCATTGCCGGAATACTAGATCTCAACCGCTTCACCTTTACAAAACGAAATCAGTATCAAGAAGAATATGACTTGATGAGCTTATCAATTGTCACTTCCAGTTTGTAAGTTTGTACGAGTGATTTTAAGTAATTTATCAACTGTTGCAAAATTTGTATTTGCAACTGCAATCAATGATGTTGCAATGCGGTAAACATTTAAACATCTACATTTGAAAATGAAGAGATAAATCAGTCTAAAAGATCAGAGATTTGCAGTGATCGGAAATGTTTTAAGCGTACAACGTCAACATTGCGCTGTCTTCTCAGCTTGTTTAAAATGTATGAATCATATCTTCCATGGTTTAATATCATCCAACTTCTATGATTCCATATTTTCTTTCATGAGATATTCAAGGTAAATTTCGTAACTAATCTATTCTTTTTACATTGTCTAAATGTCCAAAGAAAAAATCTGAATGAAAATACTTGAAATTCATGAAAGAAGAGTTCAAACTGCAATATAGCAATATTCTTTGGGATAAACTTAATTCTATAAGTTTAACCTATGTTTGGAATATAATTCCATAAAAATCGAATGATTTCAGACTGCAGTGACGAAAGGATATGAGAAATAATCAGGACTCATCTTTTCTCTTCACTGTCTATGAGTTAATCTGCATATACAGCTATAGCACATTATTCATATAAAAGTATGAGTTACTTGCTAGGCGAATTACACATAATTTTATCTTATCTCTACCTAAAAACTGCTTAAAAATCTGCTTCCATATATTTTTTTTAATCCAGAATAGTGATATTAAAGAAATGAATCACCGAAAGCAAAATTACCCCGTCAGGAAGATCGATGATCACAACCAATACCTATCTGTGCTGATAATAGCATGTCTATTGTTGTCAGTATGAATCATCTAACTCTTTCAATTCGTTTTATTGTTAGAATCAGACGGTTCCACAAGTAGAGAATGGAATATTCCCTAACACATTCCAAAAGTTCCGACCATTTTGATATCACAGCTGCACACATACCTATCACCTTAATTCATAGATGAATATGTATTTTTGTTTCTTCACACACCATCCATCTCCCTTCATTCTTCTTCGTCAGCACTCGTAAAACTCTAGTGAGGATTACTGTTTATACATCCGTTATTTGATATTGATAGACAGTGTGGGATATGATTTTTACCATGTTGCTATTCCATTATTGACTTTGGAAACTATAGTCGTCATTCATCGGGAGTCACAAGACACTGGCCGTTGCTATAGGTGTGGATGCATTTTGTGTCGCTTTAATCGATCGCCTTTCATCGATAGTTTCGTTCCAGTTAATTTTCATTGGCCTTTTTGTGTATGTGTGTGTTTTTTTTCAGGAAAAAAATGAAATATGTGTTTGTTTGTCAGCCTTTCTGTTAGACTCGGGAAGGTTTACTTAAAGTCTGTAAAATTTGCTCTGATTTGTATATATTTGAATTAAAAATAAATCTTTAACATGTTACGCTCATTCATTTCTTGACTCGTATTTTTTTTAAACACCTTATAATTTTGTCATTCAAAGGACGTCATTAAATAGTGACACAGTTCCAGAAGACATCAAACAAAGGCGATAAAGTTGACGAAGTGTTTTTTGGTTGCGAATGGGAGGGAAGAGCAGGAATACATTTTTTAAAAAAAAGTAGACTCTGTAGCATTAATAAGGCTTTTACGGGAAGCGAAAGGGAAAAAAGGAAAACATGTAACTTTGCTATCATGTGAAATGAATTGCTTGAACTTTTTCAAGTTGCAATGTTACAATGGGTCTGTCGATCAAAAAACATTCATTGATTAATCTATCTGCTGTGGGAAATTTCACTACGTAGTACTACATAAACGTCAGCATAATTGAGCACCTTGATAAAACTTGACATATACGTTGTCGTTTCTGACGTAGAAGTACAAACTGTACAATTAGCATCTTTGTTATCTAATTTACCTTCTTACTTTGCAACTATTTCTTTTCCTACTTTGTTCAGTTGCCAAAAACTAAGGTTATCTTACTGTGTTATTTTGTTTAATGGTAATGATAGTATTTTCCAACAATACTTAGTCGTCTTATTTTAATGGTCGTTTAAATGGAGAAACAATTTTTTGAATAGCAGTGTGGAAGCTCTTTTTTCATCAGTTTTTCAGTTGCTAGTGAAGAATCGAAGAATCTTAGCATAGTCATTAAGGTCATAAAAACACTGTCTTCGATATGAATTGAATTGCTAGCACAGAATAATCTATCACCGCCAGCCATTATTCACTTATCTTTTTCCGTCGTCATCCTGGGTTACTTACTTTTGTCCAGCAATGAATGATGGCCCTTCACTGCTTTGAAATCCAGTTGTGAAGTATAGATGTTTACTTTGTTGAATAATAAACAAATTCTAGCTGACTTATTTCCTATTAGTTGTCGGAAATATGCCGCTTACTTTTCTTTCCATAATTTTTATATAAATTAAACGGTTTTTATAATTAATTTGCAGAGTGAATTGGATTATCAGTGAAAAGAAATGTCAGCGCCACCATTCTATCAGTCACCGCAGGTTAATTGATTTCAAAAACTCTATTTCGTCAACTTATGGAAATAATATTATTTCTATGAACTTCTTTAAAACAAATCAAAAATCGATTGATGAAAGAAACACAATAACATTCAAATTAAAAAATCTCCGATTCGCTCATGGCATATTTTCCAAAAAAGATTTTTTGACTATGAATAGATTAGATGATTACGATTTACAAAATTATTTTAAAATGAGCATACAAAAAGTGATTAAGCTTTTCGCAATAATTGATCGAATTTTCAACCTTTTCTATTAATTTTTTTTTCTTAGCTGTTAATGTATTTTCTTCCATAAAAATGCAAAGCAGTTTTATTCTAAGCATTTTTACATTAGTTTGTTTATATGTCCCTATGTTTCATCTTCACACATTACTCAATATTTCCAATACCAAAGAAAACACAATAACGTGAAGCATGCATGATATTATTATCGGTACTTATTGGTAATACACTGTAATGAAATAATATAATACAATGTGATGAAAAAAAAAAAAATTGGAATAAAACAAAAATTGATCAACTGAAATGATAAGATGATTATTAAACTGTGTAATTATTGTATCAATATTATCCTTTCTTTAGTATCCACCACAGCAGAATTATAGTGGACATGGCTATAGTTATCCACCACAACCGCAGCAATCGTATTATCCGAATCAACCACAGCCATCCCTTGGTTATGGTTATGGTCAGCAACCAACGATTATGTTTGTTTATTGAATTTCTTCAATTTCCACAAAAAAAAAAAAAAAAAATTTAGAAAGCACTGCTGTTCATTATTTTTTACACAGTCAAATTTATACATAACTTGTGTACACTTGTATGCATAATCGAGGTTGATTTCGAAGTGTGATAAGACATATTTCTGAAATTAAATGGGAAGTGCATGTTGGCTGGTTAAAGTTTAACAAAAATCTAACCTAAAAGTATTTTGGTATGTGTTGATTTGATATCATTTTTATTGTTCTATCCTATTATTTTCATTTCTCCTAAAATTTCATTTCTGCCAAAAAACATATTGCAATCGTTCCATCCATTTCCATCGTACTACTTCAAAATGCTTAATACACTTTTATTTCTTTCATTTAGTTCAACAAATGAAATTTTAAAGATTGAAGTGTGTGTAACTGTTTCATTATTCAGACAAACAACTGCACCACCTCGAAGTTCAGGCTACGACTCGAGTAAATGCTGTTTATGGGCATTGCTAGCTTGTTGTTGTGGTTGCTGTTTGGCAGAATGCTGTGACTAAATAACTGATTAAGCGTTGATATAGTTTAATGCTTTGAAGCATACTGTTGTATTTGCTTGCTGCAGTAACATAGTATAATGTTATCAGTAGCATTTATTTATTTATTATAGGCATTTTAGGACTAAGGTTTATATTTTATATCTTTTTTTTTAAAAAAAAACTCTAGGCTAACAAATTTGAAGACATTTTTTTCCGTAAATGAAATTCCTGGTCGTCCGATTCATGATTGTTTCCACAAGCACACGTATCTGTTATTAGTAATTTTTTTTTTTGTATAACAATTCCAATTTTATAAAGATAATAAAATCGTTTTTTGAAATCCACTGAAAAAGATTTCATAAGGGTTTGTTTTGTTTGTAAAATTTTGTTCCGTTCCTTTCTTGCTAAAATAATCACCGCTTTTCCAAATTTTTTGAATTAATACTATCAATGTGTAAAATATGAGAACTGTACAACCGTGGTAATGTTTTTTGCTGTTGACCAGACAAAAATAATTTATCTATTTTAAAGGACGAAATATAAAAATGTAAATTCTGTTTTTTATGGCCTGAAAATTTTAAATTAGGTTATTTCTGATTATATTATGAGACATATATAAGGCCTTGAACTTTTTTACATTGATTATTCAGTTTTATTGATTTTGAATAATTGATTGAATGATGCCTCATTGAGTCACTGATCACGATAGCTGATGGACAATAAACATTGGTTCCTAAAAATGAATGTAATAAAAATTAAATTCCAATTTGTGCGATACGGAAATAAATGCTGAAACATGAATTATACCATAAATTGAAGACAAAGAATCGCATTTTTAAATTCCCCGTAAATTTATTATTGATTTGAGAGAGAAAAGAAATACTGGAGGAAGAATTCTTGCCCAAAGTCTATAGCTGATTCAGCGCCGTCTAAATCAATGGAGCTTCATTTGTAAACTAAATAATTTACATAGAGACCACTCCTTTTCTAATGCATAGCTTCTGAAAGTATTAGTATATATGAAAACAGTCACTGACGTGTCATTGTACAGTTGTTATTATCAATCAATCAGTAGAATTGTTTCGTTTTAAAATTTCTAAAATCATAAACGTGTCTTCATTTTGAAGATTCGATAAAGATGGAATAATTTGGTAGACAAAACAGCTTTGTTTTCAACTTGAGAAATAGGTTTCCCGAATTATTGATACCCTTGTTTCCTCAACAATTTAATAACCCTAAAGTTACCATGAAATATCATTTCCTGATGTTGAAATTTTTCATAGTTTAGAATTTTATATCTATTCTATGTTAGAAATGTTAGAAAATTAAATCAGTACTTCTAACGGGTAATGCTAGCATGGTGATAACACTTCCCAGGAAGCAGCATATTTCATCGTTAAACAGTGATAGTTCGCATGCAAGAGGAATAGCATCACCACCTGTTCTTCCCTTCCTCTCCACTTCCCAGTCGCATATTTCATTCATTTTTGTTCATTCCAACTTTTTGTAAGCAGTCATCTCTGAACATTGTTTTCTGAGAAGTTCGCTATTTTCGTACGCTTTCTTGGTAGTTCAGAAGCAGACTTCTGTTCGTGCATATTTTATGTATTCTGGTAAGTCGATAATTCAGCCTTGTAATTGCTCAGCTAAAAAACTAAAACTTTTGAAACTCAACCATAATTTCATTTAAATTCAGAATTAGTCTCTAGTCATTTCCAGCTTTTCCTACTTTAATTTAATTGTTCATGGCCTCCAATTTCGCATTTCAAATTTTAGTAAAAGTTTTTAACTATATAAAAGTTAACTTTCAGTTGAATTATTAATCTAGTAGAAGATGAAGAAATCCGCCATTTAGTAACTTTTAACATTTTACTTCATCATTATCAATAGAATCACCACATTAATCTTTTTGGAATCATGTTTTATATATGTTATTAGTCGGTGAAGCAGTAATTTTACATCTAAGCTGAGAAATAACAACTGATTTTACTAAAACAAATAACTTTTAGTGGATTCCATTTCTAGTACGTACTATTACTTCTAAGAAATGGATAATGATAAGAAATTAATCAGTTACCAATATCCATCGCTTCTTTTCTCTTATATCAGTAACTGTATGTGCGGTTACGAAATTACTTCCGTATATATATAAAATTGCAATCACTATTGTTTGGTCTACCACTTTTAAAGAAAGTACTAAAGTAGTAAAGTTTGTTCGAGACTGTCATTTTGCTAAGCATTAGTCACTAGAATTAATTTCCAAATTTTTTTAGTAGTCACAATCTCACGATCAAAATCGTATAGAAAAAAGTTTAAAAATTGCAAAAATTCAAGATAATGTATCGGTAACAAAAACCATTGTTATATATCTCTTTCCTTAACCATCAAAACAAAATCTACTCCCTATATAATCATGGTCTTGAAAAAAGCGATATTCATAAAGTACTGAGTGTCGTGAAAGATTTGAAAAAAAAAAAATCATTTTAGGAGACGTTTATTGATTTCTGGGAGATTCGCTTAACATAGACATTAATATGTGGGATAATACAGGAATATAGTAAATCGTTTATCAAGAGAAGCTATAATACAATAAACTTGCTAGAGAAGAACTGAAGTAGCGAAATCCCTTTTTGTGGTCGAACTGCCTCGTGATTGAACTCTGCTGGTTTAACACACTACTGTTAATATGAGTAGCCTCCTTATGTAGCAAGCAGTATACATAAACAAAATACATGATTTACAATAATCGGTCTAATAAAGAGCTGTTGACCTGGTTTAGAAACAAATCTAATTACTAGTTAGTGGTGGCACAACAGTGAGATCAACTAAATGAGGAGCTGATACCGTGTGTAAACAATATATAGAAGATTTACAATCTAAACATAAGTTTACTTTTTGGAAACAAAAAGTTTAGGGTATAAACATTGTATTGCAAAGAGTTCATAGAATATATTTCTTACTCATATTTTCTACTCTCATATAATATTTTAGATTTTTGCGATATTGAAATCCACGGTTTCCAACAGAATGAGTCCAAAATCTTAGTTACTACTTTTACCAAATATAATTAGTGTATTATTATTTATCAATTATTATCAATAATATTATTGTTTATTATTATTATTAAATTTTTTCATTTGCAGCTTCTAAAGGTTAGCATAAAAAAAATTAATGACCACTCCTATTTCTGATGCGCATGTATTACTTCAAATGAAATCTACTTTGATATTCAACTAACAGCCAAGCATAATTCTTCTGTTTAAATGGAAACTGATAACCATCAACTAATGTTAAAGTTCAAACACGTACTTTTTAAGCTACGATTACACCAAGTGACCGGTTTGATATAGAATTCCGGGAATTAAAATATTTCTTTCAATTTGGAATTTATAATAATTAGAGTTTGTTAATGAACTAAGTCTCTTTTCCTTAGTAGCACTATAAATGAGGAAAAAACCTAAAACCACTCATGAAGGGAATGAAAGCTGTATTTTTTGATTTACAGCAATTCAAATTCAATTTTGCTCGTTCATAAGCAAGTCCATACTAACTTTATATGTGGGATGCAATTTAACCATGACTATACAAAACGTATTTGTTTTCACAAGTTTTCTTGTATCATCTATCGCGAGAGGATTCCAGGCTATATACGTAGTTTCAAATACTGGTTTCTCGGAATAGTGCATGTTAAAAAAAGGATAAGTTTGGACTGTTCATTTAGTATTGCGTAGAGTACTTATCCTAAACTGCCTTTTGGAAAGCAAAAAATTAAGAGCAAAAATTTTTTTCTTTTTGAAAGACTGAAGTAAAATTGGTGAGAGGATGAAAAAATATTTTCCTAGTTAAAAAAATGCAGTTAAGTAAACATAGTTAAGTGAACAAACAATAAATGTGGTCAATAGCATCTGTAGGGAGAGAGCTGTACAAACTTGCATATATCATGTGTATCGTCTGCCTCCCGTCATTATCCAACCAATTTCACCTGCCAGCATTCACCTTTCTCAATCATCTATCCTTCATACAAGAGAGCATTAGACACAGTACTATACTGCTATATCAGAAGAGCACTGCATAATATGATTTAACATAAATTTTGCAAAGATTCCAATTAATTTTGCATTCAGTCACTTTCATTCATTAGAATTATTTGACCGTTTCTCTTATAATTTCTTCCATTTTTGGGCACTGGTAAAGATATTGTTTAAGTTATCTCAAGCATACAAACTCAGTTAGTTACAACGTATTATTAAACATATCAATAATTTTTATTTCGGCAAAACAAAATTTACTACTTTATTTTTGAAATATTTGTGAGAAATTTTTAATACCGATGTACCAAATATCCATCATACTTGTTATTCTATATTTCAATAACAAATGACGTAGATACGTATTAGATATTTTTTAATCTTATGAGGAAATCATGCAGTTATCTACTTACAGAATCAAAAATAAATTACAACAGTATTTCTTTACAAGACAAAAAAATAACTTTAAAGAAAATAGACTCGCAAATATTAATCCTATTGATAAATCTCAAACTACGGAAATTTGTCCAAATCAAAACAAATTGAATTAGCTGTCCCGGAAGCGTCTAAGTATTAAAAGCAATGCAGTAAGAGCAAGACAAATTTGACTATTTGAAAAATTAGGTATGTGGTTGTTTTTGTTTTCACATGAAGTCATCCGAAAATTCCGAAAATTATCGAGAGATTTGATAAATTATTTTAGTAAAATGAAGTAAAAAGTGAAAATGATTTAAAATGATATGTCGCGATTGTATTTGCAGTTTCTTTTCAACAAACTATGAAAGTGAGTGGGCCACTTCGCGATGAAAAGCAAAGAAACTTTACAAAGTGAACAGTACATAGTATCATCGAAGAAATCTTTCCAAATTTCATTATATATCCTTTTTATCTACTTGATATCATTTTTACTTCCGATTTTCAAAAGATTTCTAATGAAACGATTGCTATTATGCAATTTGGTGAACTGATATTAAACCTCAATTTAAAACTGGT